GGCTGTAATACGAGAAAATGATAGAGGACCTGGAGACTCAGCGAGAAAATAACCCACGAAAAGTCCAGCAGTGGTTCAACGGAATATACAGCTAAAAACAAGAAGTTCCCGAGAAAGTCTGGGATGATAAGTGGAGGCGAAATAGCCATAAGGCACTGTAGAAGGAAAATGCAGAATACCGCCCGCGTTAAAGTTTTTTATGAAAAAAAGACATAATTTTCCAAAACTATCAGAGCGGCAACTACAAGACTTTATTTATTTATTCGTTAAATTTAACCAGCTTTCCTACATTTCTAAGTGCGTACAAGGGGGAGATAGACCTCGAGCTAATACGAGATTTCAGCATCTAAGAAAAAGCAAAACAAAAAAAATCAAGTTATAAACATTCTCGCTTTAGTCTTTGACGTAGAGCACCTGGTCTGCACTGCGCGCTTGGAACCAACCATAAGAACTGGTTTTGTAAGCGCCGGTCATAAAGTTGATTTTACGAACTCCCAGACTCTAAAGGAGTTCTTGGTCTGAAGTACTGGCAACCAATGCTCACAGAACAGAACTCGGGGCTTGTAACTAGGTCTCAGCCAACATAGAGAATGCGACTACGTAACCTGCAATAGTTTTTTTTATAGATTTTAAATATCAAGTGTCGTCACCGACTTTAATACGCCTAGTCAAGCAAACATTTACGCGTACAATAAAACTAAAAAATCTTCGAAGACATCTTTTTCTCAAATCAACTGCTATTAACAGATACCCAAAATATGTCTTTAAAAACACAATATTTAAGAATAACTGGTTTTTGGATAAGATTTTGCCCCGACCAAAAGCGTTCAATTTTGCCTGACACGTTTATATTTGTTTGTCTAAAGAGAAACGCAAGTTAAAAATGCACATACATGTCCGATAAAATAGTCAGGAATTAGAAAACCAAGGGAAACATCGTTTAGAAGAATCTACAGCAATATACATATTTAAAACGGACGGTGCTTTCCTGCCCGTTTTACCCCTAAAATTACGAAAGAAAGGAAAGAATGCAGCATATCTTTTTCTCACGTCGTATGAGATTTTGTATAATAAGAATGCGGAAAAATGGTAAGATTGTTGTAACCGTATGATAGCTTGTACACTCTATAAACCGCATTTCACATCTAGGATTTTAGCTAGACACAAACAATGGACTCACATTTTTGATCTATCAGCAAAATTGGAATGAGGAGGATGAGCAGGTGTTGTAGGTAGTACACAGTAGTCTCGAAAGGCAGCTAAAATATACACGAGCACATTGATGACAGATAAGAAATCTTTAGAAAAGTGATGCAAATGAGTTAACCATTAATTTCTTTCCGTGAGTTTACAGCTGAACCATCTCGAAACTTATGAATATATTTGCTCTGCATGTCATATAAACTCCGCAAGGCAAGGACAGCGAATTCCTTATAACCCTTAGTATGTACCTAGGCGAAAATTATGGAGATCAAACTAAAGGTTAACGAAATCGGCCATTGGGGACAAGACTGACTATATCGAAGTCTCCGGAGAAGAAACTAACAACTAGGAAAACACTTACGGTCGATAGGAAGTTGGCTGCAACTTAGATTACGGAACTGCTAGCGTAATGACTCCAGAAGTTTAGCAGCACATGAGCCTATTTCACTTTTGGTCATGTACAACGGAAGGGCGGTCAGAAAATTTAGTCTTATTATGCAGGAGGCGATAGAAAGTTAGTGGCTGAATAATAATAATTTAAGATAGAAAACTAGTAGAGACGCAAAAGTATCACACAGCTGTGCTTGACAGTGAGAACTTACAATTCGTGTATTAACAACAGGAAACAAAAGCGCCAGAAGAGGGCCATTCAACATGTGGAGGTGAATCCGAAAAACGCCAGTGACGAACTCTGATGGATCAGCCAGAAGCAACCATATCTAATGGAGGATAAAGTGAACAAATTAGGTCCGACAGAGCAAGCACACCAAACCTGGAGTAGAAGTAGTATAACGTTAGGATAGTGCGTTTTGAATATGCTAAGAGTAAAAACTTATTATACAGGCGGTCACGGAATGTTGGTCTAAAACTCGCTTTCGCAAATCGAAACCATATAGAAACACTACGGCAGTGGCCAAATTTCGGTCAAATGATGGGTA